GATTTAAATCAAAAGTATTCATCATATACTTTCTTCTTCTTAGCTGGCATCATGACCCACTTGATGAGTCAAAGCCTGCTCCAACAAGGATTGCCAGTTCTCTCTATTGCCTGCCACTGCCTTCCAATTCCTTAAACCAAGCAGTTTTCTGGAGCCCATAGCCACACAATCCCCAACGAAGTTTGGCTCGCCATGTACTATACACTTGCTCCGACAAATGTTTTCATAGGATCTCCTCCTGGTTCATTCTTATAACATGACCAGCCCAGCAGTATTTCCCTAATTTACGATCCGTTTATGGAAACAAAATTTTTAATTAAGATAGGAGACAGGAGTTTGTATGCACATCGAAGGAGAGATATGTCCCTATTGTTACTACATATTAATATGTCACTTTTTTTGTTTATGTGTCACCTGTTTTTTTCCACTCACTCAGTAGTTTATTTTTTCTACATATGTCTAACAAAATTTCTTGAAACTTTATCATTTCATGACTAGTGTTTTTAAACAGCTCTGCCACATATCTTCTATTGTACTTCTTCTGATGCATTGTTATATATGCTAGATTTTTTCTTTAGTTTGCCTTTTTTTTATTTATTTTGGTTATAACTTTTTAATTAATTGGTTATTCTGTTGAATCGTCTCGACTGTCGTATTCACTGTCAGGATTTTCTAGTTCCTCTAGCAAAATAAGATCTTCGATTTTGTCTGGCTTCACAGGCCCTGTCATTTGATTGCATATAGTCATTTTCTACTTGCCAACCATAGTAAAGAGAATTAAGATTTGGTTGATCTGCTAAGTTTAAATTGGATCATAAATGTGTAATAAATTTGGTTCTCAAAATGAAGCCATGAAGTGTTGGAGGAGCACTAGACATACCAGGTCCAATTTCCTAGGCGGTCAATCTGATATTTATAAAATGTTTGTCATTCCTGGCTATGTTTCCTATTTCAAACCATATTGCGCCTTTGATATTAATAAGTTCCAAATAAATTATTATGATGATTAAAACATCAGTGTCTATTGATTTCACTAAAACATTCTCGACGTTTTTGTGTTTGGTAATAATATTTACCATCTTGGAATCTGCTTCCAGATAGTTTCTTTTTATAAATGATATTTCTGTTACTCTTATTTCAATTTTTGGGCATAAATATGAGAAGAAAATTATGTCATGTATTCAGATTTTTGCCATTTTTGAATAGGAAATTAAGCAGAACTTCATTGAAATGATCACTTCTAAAAGTTTATATAAAATTATTGGGTCTATTTTGAATAGAGTAAGACAAATTTCTACCAATGTCTCTATCTCGAAGATTCACTCTGTGTCTTATATTAATTAAGTTGTTTGTGTATTAAAAATTAAATAATCAAATCAAAAACTCTTTGGTACCTTCCAGTTATCAGGATCTTATTTTTTTAAAGTCGAGATGATTTTTGAGGATTTATAGCCAAACCAATTTCCTCAAACGTCCATTGTACGCTACCGATCACTCTTTCTGCAGCCCCTCCCCCCTCCCCCCGTCACATGCTGACACTGCCTGGTCATCCGCGAAACCTGTGAGGACCACACAACCTTGGTCACTTTTTAACTTATATCCAAATTTTTTTGAAAATTCTTCATCACAAAGGTCGCGATAGAGATGGTCGGTGGCCAGGTTGAAGAGCGACAACGACAAGGGGCCACCTTGGGGTACTCTGTGCAGCACTTTGATTTGGCTAGTTGTGTGAACACCATTACTAATCTTGATTGTGTTCATGCAGAGGAAAGCCGATATAACACGTTTAAGATCCAGCAACACACCTCTTGCTTCTAAGCAGCTCACGATATGATTGTGGCCAACATTGTCAAAAGCACCGACAACGTTAAGGAATACTACCGCACAATCATTTTTCAAAATTTTTGCATCTTTCAATATAGCGTCGATAATCCTTGCGTTGACGTGTGTTCCCTGGAGGCCTTTTATAAAGCCTCGCTGATTCCTGTGGAAGGTGACCTGCTTTCTTAGTTGGTGGTCCAGATCCTTCTCTATGATTTGGCGCACAATAGAATTAATGGTGATGGGTCTCCAGGTAGAGATATTGTTTACATCACCTTTCCCCTTATGTATTAATATAGTGCGCCCTTGTCGAACTGGTTCTGGGACATAGGCCACCTTCAGCATTATCTCTGCAATTGTTTTGATAATATTTGCTACATCAAAATATTTAATCCTGCAGATCAGAACTCCATCAGGCCCCAGCGATGTGTCCATTGATGTTGATTTAATGGACACATTAACATTTTAACATGGACCTATAACATTTTTCACTATGCCCCTCAGTGTATTGCTGTTAGCCTCCCTGGGATGTTTTTTTGCAATATGGGTTCCAAGACCTCTTTCACCCTTAAAAGAAATCCCACATATGGGACAAACTTTATTATTAGGGCATAGAACTTCGTCCTCTTGCTCTCCGTTCGCCTCCGCGACATTCTGTGGAACATTTGGCAATGCTGGAAAGACATCATCTATCGAAACTGTCTTTCCCAATAGTACACCTTCTGTGTCTGGCCATTCAACTTTTACATATTTCTTTTCACCACCTCCCGCAGCATCCACAGACATCACAGAGGCAACAACAGCCTCCTGAGCAAGTCCTCCAGTTCTCAGAACCCATACTCTCTGGCCAATCTCGATTTCATTCATTGTTCTTAGGTCCATTCAAAATCCAATCTCTTTATTCGAGACCATGTGTACCACACGCATGATTAAAACAAATTATTTAAAGGAGAGTGAACCTGTATATAAATAAATAAAAACTAAACAGGAGAGACATGCATCTATGCCAACATAAACACTTAAGTATCAGATTAATATCAAATGCTTAAAAAGAGTTTTTTTTTTTTTTTTATTTTAATGAAATTTACAACTGTATTACATGGAAAATACAAGTAAATGTGACATTGGTAACATGACATGTACAACATGAAGAGAAACTACCTATTGGTAGAACTCAAATTAAAGTTCTATATTAGAAGGTCCCGAGGCCATCTTCTTTTCAGACGCCTTGTAGGGTTATCAGGGATCGAGGAGGAAGCAAGGTTTGAAACGAGAGGATTCGGATGGTTCTGCAGTTTGTTATGGAAGGATAGGTATCTGGATTGGGCCAAATCGGAAACATGTGAACATTAATAAGGTCTTTATGGATGATTTTGTTTGTGACAAAGTAAGGAGCGTTGAGGATTTTACAAAGGATTTTAAGGATTGTATACTTGAGGAATTCGAGGGTTTAGTGGAGCCCCAAAGCTCAATTCCGTAAGTCCAAATAGGTCTTATTATTGTCATCTATATGAGTCGTTTGTAATTGGTTGAAAGTTTAGATATCGTTTGAAAGCTTAAATATCGTTTGTCTGGTAAGTGTTGGAGTAGTCGGAAACGTCGAGCGGTTTCTTGTCGTTTCAGTCTTGTATGAGGATTCCATGTGAGTCGTTTGTCGAGGTGGAGTCCTAGGTAACGGATTTGTTCAACTGGGATAAGTGGGAAATTGTTAAAGGATACTGTAGGACAGGAGGTCATAGATTTGTGATGCAGGGTAAAGGTAATTTGATGGTATTTATTGGAGTTTATGTTAATCCTCCAGTTTTGACACCATTCTTCAAGACTTGTGATGTGTGATTGGAGAGTTTGGGATGCAATTGATGGATCGTTGTTAACTGATAGGATACACGTGTCATCGGCATAGGTGGTGATGACAATGTTGGGATGGGTTGGAATGTCAGCTGTATAAATTGTGTAAAGGATAGGACCTAGGATACAACCTTGAGGAACACCAGCAAACTGATAAAAAAAGAGATGAACAGGCATTTTTGTGATTTACTTTGAAGTATCTAACACTAAGGTAGGAACAGATAATGAGGAAGTATATAGGTGGTAGGAATTTACGGAGTTTGTAAATCAGTCCCGGATGCCAGACTATCAAACACCTGTTCAACGTCGAGAAAGACTCCCGTGCAGTACATTCCTCGCTCCAATGCAGAGGAAACCACGTCTACCACACCATGACATTGCTGAATAGTGGAGTGAGATGTACGGAATCCAAATTGGTGATCTGGGATTATGGATTATGACAATGGATAGTTTCCAAGAGTCAAGAAAATATGTGGTTCGGAGTACAGCATTATATATATAGGTGAGGAATAATACAACTTTCTGAGGAAGCAGTTTTAGGATCTGGGATGTGATTAGGTCATGGCCAGGATCTTTGTGGGAAGGTAATCTGTGTATGATATTGGATATTTCTGAAGGATGAACTGCTTTAGGTGGAAGGGTCAATTGGAGTTAAAATGTAAAATGAATACAAGCTAAAAAAATTAAAATCTATAAAATCAATTGCTTAAGAATAAGTTAAAATATAAAATGAAGTTAAAATCTATAGAATCTATTGCTTAAAATTAAGTTAAAATATATAAAATAAATTATGGTAAAAAGTTAAAATCAATTTCTTAAAAGCAAATTAAAATATACAATTAATAAAATCTAAGTTAAATAATAATCGATTAATAAATAAGGTAATGAATAAAAACAAGTTAAATCTATAAAATATATTGTTATAAATTAAATACACATACCCACGCCCACTGAATAAATAATAAATAATAAATCAATTGGTAAAGCTAAATAATAATTTATTTCCCAATGACATTTATTACTTCTTGCCTCACAAATCATCTTTTTCTCCAAAATTATATCATGACTACAATATTACAATCAAGGAAAATGCTAAAGAGAGCTGAGAAGTTGTAAACCTTTCAATAGTTTTCAAATGTTGAAGGGGGAAGGGATAAGTATATCTGTTTTTGATTATTTTTAACTCTGTAAATTATTGATACCCATCCCCTTGTTATAACGTAAAATATTAGTATTAATTATTTTTCTGTTTCACTTTATTTTTTATACACTATGAATTATTATTTTGATGTCCATAACAAATATAATAATAATTTATAACTATTTTTTAGGACTTTATGGTGAAGTGTTCTACCAGAAATTGCTCCAGGGGTATCGAATGGAAAAACCAAAGTATGCAACGGAAGATGCGTGAGTAGACAATATACAATAGTTTGAATATACTTAAATATGAGAAGCCTTAATGTGGAAGATAGCTTTATATAAATTTTAAATATTTTACAATCTATCATCATCATCATCATCATAATGAATCATAGCTACAACTGAGTCTGGGCCTCATCTGAAAGCCTTCGCCATTTGGCTTGGTTTATAGCAGCAGCTTTCCAGTTTCGGATGTCAAAAGGACCCACTCATTGGCGACAATAGAGTCCCCCCAACCAACTCTCCGCTTGCCGTGAAGTTCATGTCTTCTTTGTTATATGGCCATCTTCCATCCTCACCATGTGGCCTGCTCCTCAAGGTATCCTGCTCTCGATAAACTTGACAACATCAATGTCGTACAAAACAGAAAGCTATGTATTCTTCTATCTTCTCCAGGTGTTTCCCTCTTGATCCGGACCAAAAATTCTCTTTAGTATATAAATAAAAATTAAGTAACAGCTTTACTCTCCCAACAATCTTTTCTTCATTTTTATGACGTTTTGGAATCATTTTATTATCCCATATGCAGACCATATCTCATCCTTCTATCATTCTAGGATTTGCACAGAAACCACTTGGATCAGTTTTTAACAATAAACTCCAGACATTCCATGAACATGGTATTATGCAGTTAGTGGAAAGATGGGAAAAAGTCATATTAAATATTTGTAAATAACCTAATAAAGTTTAATTGTAAATAATTTGTTTTGGCGGGAATTGCGAATAGCCTTCCGCTGTTATATCGGGGAACTAGGTTATTCACACTCGTGATTATTAAAACAAAACTCTGGCACTGGATTTAGACATTTTGAGGGTGTTTAACTGTTGTTGGGAATTTGGGAATCTAATACCTTTTGTGACACTGAGTGACAAGAAACAATAAGAATATATATATATATATATATATATATTGTAATATCAACATTATATGGCATTTGAATATTGGTGCGAAAGTGGTAACATGATAACAACGGGGAGAAAGTGCGTGCGGATGGTGGGGGAAGCAAGCCTCATGTAACTCAGAATGTGACGGGCCGCCAGGAGAGAAGGTGTTAGCGGCCAAGAGAGGAGGTTATGAGCCGCCAAGAGAAAATGTGACAAGCTGTCAAGAGAGAAGGTACTAGCCAGCAAGCTGAGAAAATAGAAAGAGCCACAAAGTTTAGACTGGGACAATAAAGGTTTTTGAAAACAAAATAAATTTTATATGTATAATTAGTGTATTTAGGAATTGGTAAATTATAGTTATTTAATGTTGAATGAGTGTTCAGTTGTCCGAACCCAACCTGAGATTTATGTTATATGTGTTAAAATAAATAATATATTGAAAAAGGAAACTCGTTGTTTCATTTATGTTGACAAAGGGAACGTTACAATATAATGTGGGACTTGTGAGTGACAAGAAACAATAAGAATATAATGTGGGACTTGGTAGATACACTTTAAATGAATTGACTCACCTGGTTTGTTATTCTTCAATCGTGAGGCATATAGGACAACTAAATAAATAAATGACTTTTCACTCCTGTATAACAAAATAATTTATTTCTACAACTGTAATAAACTGACTCTATTAAAGTGTTTAACTATAGACTTGATCTTCTAAATCTTGTAGTAGACTTCTCTTCCCAGGTATGTCGTTCCGCCTCAATATCTCAGCCTCAAGTCCTCTCGCCTCTGTGTTCCAGCCTCAAGTGCCTTCTCTCCTCTTCTCTGGCATCCTTCTTCAGCTGTTGCTACCTGCTCCGTCCTTTTTCCAGCGTCCTTCTTCATCGATTATTTATCGATATGAGACTTTTCAATGAATAATTTGTCCACTGCATAATTGAGTACAATTCATCGTGCAACCTCACATTCCTATATATTCCTTCTCATTCTCTCACACAATGTCACATAAAGGAGTAAATACTGGGGGCTATCTACTACATATTGATCAATATATTGTAGATTAAAATAAATTTTATGTCTATAATACATTGAGTTTTATTTTACCCTGAAAAACCTAAAGGACTTATTTGCCAACCCAATATTATAATAAAAAATTTAACTTTTATTTATAAAAAATAATGAGTTTTCAATTATTCATCATCTTGAGAAAAAGTTTTTTTTTTTTAATTTTAAACATATTTATTGAGAGATATTACACTCTGTCACAATTAAGGACATTTATAATAGTGTTCAAAGAGGACATTCACACTCCATTCATTCACAATAAACAAAAACAAATAATACAGAAAAATAATAATACTAAAAGCAAATGTATATAAACTAAAAGAGACTAAGCTAAAGAAAATAATTACTGAAATACATACATGCTTCTATGCAATATCTAAAAAAAAAATTCATTCACTCAAGATCTCCGAGCCTAGCCTTTCTCCCTACTCATGGAAGGGAAGGCAGGACTCTAGAAGATCCCAGCGCCCCTCACCCAGCCGCGCCACTGATATTAAAGACCAGTAGAGGCTGAGCAGAGGCGCTATAATCACACATACTTGGTTTGAGTGGAGAATCTGGCCATTGCAAAAATTCCAATGTATACTTATTCACAAAAGGTCTTTGGGCCACTGCCGCTTCAACCTTCTAGGAGGATTGTAGGGATGGGTTGTGCTAGATAGGGATTGTGCCAGGGAATTTGGATGACAGGTAAGGTTCTGGTGAAATTTGGAGAAATTTTTGGGGATAAGGTCTAGGACAAATGGGATATTAAGGTGTAGGGTTTTGTTGGTTACATAAAATGGAGCATCAACTATTGTTTGAAGGACTTTAGGTTGAAAGGATTGAATGTGTTTGATGTTAAAAAATTTTGCTGTCCCCCATAGTTTAAGTCCTTATGTCCACATAGGTTTCAAGATTGTTTTGTAGATAAGTAATTTGTTTTCAATAGAAAGTTCAGATTTTCTGTTTACTAGTCTGTATAGTTGGCGGTATCGTTGGTTAAGTTGTCTTTTAAGTCTAGTATGTGGGTTCCATGTTAGTCTTCGGTCTAAAAGAATGCCAAGATACCGGACTGTGTCCTAGAAAGGAAGCTGGATGGAGTTAAAGTGTACAGGTGAACAGGAATTGCGTCTGAGTGTAAAGGTAATATGTTGGCATTTGGATTCATTCACTTCAATGCTCTAGTTATTACATCAGTGCTTAATCAAGGAGAGGTGCCTTTGCAGATTTGAGGATGCTATTTCAGGATCTGAGTTGGGTGATTGGATGGCGCTGTCATCAGCGAATGTTACATGGAAGGTATTGGGATGAATAGGAATGTCAGCGGTAAAGTACAGGACCCAAGAAGCTGCCTTGGGGAACACCGGCTTTGACTGGATAGATATTGGAAAATTCTGTTCCACAATGAACTCGAAAGGAGGGGTTAGAGAGGTAGGATCGGAGAACTAAGTATAAGGACTGAGGTAAATGCATTTTAAGCTTGAAGAGTAATCCAGCATGTCATACCCGGTCAAATGCCTGTGCTATGTCCAGAAATGCACTCGAACTGTATTCCTTGTTTTCTAGGGCTAATGAAATATGATCAACAACTCGGAGCCCTTGTTGAATAGTAGAATGTTGAGAGCAGAAACCAAACTGATGGAAAGGAAGATTTTGGGATTCATTTCAAAAGGACCTTTTCAAAGATTTTTGAAAGAATTGGGAGTAGGCTAATTGGTCTATAGGATGTTAATTTGTTGTGATGTTTGTTTTGTTTTGGGAAAAGGATGACAGTGGAATGTTTCCATAACAGAGGAAAGTGAGTGGTACGTAGGATACAATTGTAGATATATGTGAGGAATATGACTGCTCTCGACAGAAGTTGTCGAAGGATCTGGAGGGTATGGAGATCATAGCCAGGAGATTTATGAAGGATTAGTTTTTGTAAATGAAATTTGACTTCGGAAGGATGAACTGCTTTAGGAGGCAGGGGAATTGGTATGGTTGATGTTAGGAATTTCTGCACTGTTTCTTTGTGGGTGGGATGCTTAAGTAAAAGTAAAAATATTTTTTACTAATATCTCTATTATAGGAATTTATTCGCATTTATAAGTGACAAAATAAATGTTTCTAGTCCTAATATTTATCTTCAAAATATAGAAATCTGCAGATTGCTTCAATTATTTTGATGAGAACGTAAATATTGGAATCAAGAACATTTAGTCATTGATAAATATAGATTAATTCTCATAAGAAAGATCTTAGTAAAAAACACAGTTTTATTATCACTATTATAATTAAAAAATCATTATGTTTAAAATGTCTATTTTAAAAATAAAAATTTATAAAGCTTTGTAGTAATATATTGTAGTCATTTTTGGTGAAAACATTGGTACTTTTAGGTGACAGGATATAAAATCGCAAACATTTTTTTTACACACTTTGAGGTGAATTTAAACTTTTTCATTAGTAAACCTACCTTAATTCATTTTTACTTTTTCTAAAAGTGGTGTATCTATACTATACTTTGAGGAGGATAAAAAAATTGCAAATTATGATTTTTTTATAAACAGAACTTAGCTTAGTTTAGTTTAGCTTAATTGCGGACTCTAGCACAAAGTTGAAGAGCAAAGCTGACAGTGGGTCACCTTGACGTAATCCTTTCCCTACCTTAAAACCTTTGGAGCATTTCCGCCCGATCTTGACTTTACAGGATGTATTCTTTAGAATCATACGGATAAGCCTAATAAGTTTTCTGGGGATCCCTGAAGAATGTAGGCATTTGTACATATTCTCCCTGTTAATAGTATCATAGATTTGTTTGAAATCGATGAATACATGATGGAGAGTTACATTACATTCATTTGATTACTTAAAATACATGATCAGTGGTAGACCCACCTGCTCTAAAACCACATTGGTATTCTCCTACTACTTTCTCAGCCCATTTTACTTGTCTCCTGCTGATCGCAATACAGAGAGTACTTTGTAAACTATTCCAAGGAGAGGTATTCCGTGATAATTTCTGCATTCTTTTCTGCTCCCCTTTTTGTATATCGGGCATACTAGAGCTTCAA